AGCCTAGCCCAGGAGCCCCGCTCCGCTGGCAGGGGAGGGCTCCCATGGGGGGCGGGCAGGGCTCTAAGGCAGCAGAGGCCAGGTCGGCTGGGGGTGGGGTGCCACCTGCACCCAGCCGGGATGCTGATGTAACTGCCCTGGGGGGGATCTGAACCTGGGACCTCTAGCCCCTTAGGCTGTGTCTACACTGGCCCCTTGAATTGCCACAAAAGCACTGGCCATCTACTGTAAAATCGGCAGGGCTTTTCCGGAAAAACTCTGCTGCTCCCGGTCGGGCAAAAGTCCTTTTCCGGAAAACTGGTCCAGAAAAGGGCCAGTGTAGACAGCACAGGACTGTTTTCCGCAAAAAAGCCCCGATGGCGAAAATGACGATTGGGGATTTTTTGCGGAAAAGCGCGAATTGCCACAAAAGCACTGGCCATCTACTGTAAAATCGGCAGGGCTTTTCCGGAAAAACTCTGCTGCTCCCGGTCGGGCAAAAGTCCTTTTCCGGAAAACTGGTCCAGAAAAGGGCCAGTGTAGACAGCACAGGACTGTTTTCCGCAAAAAAGCCCCGATGGCGAAAATGACGATTGGGGATTTTTTGCGGAAAAGCGCGGCTACATTGAGTCCTTCCAGAAAAGCATCCTGCCAACATAGACGCGCTTTTTCCGGAAATACTTGTAATGGAAAACTTCCGTTTTAAGCATTTCCGGAGAAGGGGGCCAGTGCAGACGTAGCCGCAGTGTAGGAGGCTCTAGAGCTGGCGCCAGAAGGCTGCGGGCGCCCTCATTCTCCCATGGCAGTGACCCAGACGCGGTGCGGGGGCCTCACTGGGCTCCTGGGCCCTGCCCACGGCTCCCCGCACAAACAGGGCCCGGAGCCAAGCGGGAAAAGCGCTGCCTGGGGGCCCAGGGGATTTCCAGCAGCTTTGGGACCTGCCAGAGGGCACTACCCAGGGGCTGCTCCGCTGGCAGCACCGTGCCCCCCCCTGCTGGGATGGGGGGGCAAAGCCCCCCCCCGGCTTTCACCCAGCAGCCAGCCTGGGGCTCCCGCAGGCAGGCCGGGGGCTAAGGGGAGCTCCAAGGCCAGTATGGACAGCGCGTGGAGCAGGGGGGAGCTAAGGGGGCCAGGCTGGTGCCAAAGGGCCCACCCGCAGCCCCCAGCTGCTGCCAAGGGGACTCACTGCCACAGCTGCAGAGAACTCCACTGGCCCCAGGCCGGGCGGGCGGATCCCGCTGTCGTTGGAACGAAGAGTTTTTCCAGATTTCAGATTCAGGTCCCTCACTTGCAGGGGGCGTAGGAGGAGCCCCCGCAGGTCAGAGCAGGGGGCCAGCTCACCCAGAGCCCTGGCTCCATCAGCAGCCAAGGGCAGGTGCCTGGGAGGGAACGAGATTAACCCCTCCTACCCTGTGGCCCCAGCTTCTGGCCCCCCCAGAGTCCAGCCCTTGCAGGACTTCCAGCCTTCACACTGCCCTCAGCAGGGAGTTCCACAAGTGAACACTGCTGGCTGCAGCAGGGGCTGTACACGCCCTGTGCCAGGCCCCACCTGCTGAGATCCCAGGGGCCTGCAGAGCAACAAGAGCAGTGGCCCTCTCCTGCCAGGCAGGGTAAGCCGAGTGGCACGGTGTGGGTGGTGAGCACCAGGAAGGGGTTGCCCCTCCCCTCCCCTGGGCAGAGTCGAGGGGAACACACAGGCCAGGCAGTTTCATTAGTAGGCCTGGGCAGGGAGAGGGGGCCCTTGTGCTGGAGGTGGAACGCTGGGGGTGGTGCCCACCGCCCGTAGGGCCAACGGCTCGAGTACACAGCGCTTAAGGCGTCCCCAGCCGAGCCCGCCCGGGGGCCTGGGCTCACAGCACAGCAGAGGCTGCCTCCTCCCTCCACCTGCTCCCTGCTGGCACCCAACAGCTGTCAGGCCTGGGGCGCACAGCTCTGCAGGGGCCACCCGGTATCTGTACCACGTCCGGACAGATGCTGCCCTTGGGGAGCTGGGATAGGCCAAGCTCGGGGGAGCAAAGGGTTAAGTCCTTTCCGCCATGGGGTCACAGCCACCAAGGGCTGCACCTCCCCTCCCAGCCCCACAGCCCAGCCAAGGCTGCACTGAAAAGCACAGAGGGGCCTGTCCTGCTGCCAGGTAAATGCAGACACCCAGCCCTGGGCCGGCTCCCTGCACAGAGCTGCCCCCGCCCTGCCTCATCGCGGGAACAGGGCTGCTCGGGCCCAGCTCCAGCAGGCGCCTCCTGGCAGGGAGTGCGGGAAGACGGGGAGCAAAGGGGTGTGGGGCAGGCTCCCCCCTGTGCGCCCCTGGGCTGGGCCGGGGGAAGGAGC